AGGCAGGGAAAAGGGGAAGAGAGAGCAGTGAGGCAGGGGAGGGGGAGAGATAACAGGGAGAGGGAGGGAGAGAGACAGAGAGTAGGGAGAGGGAGGGAGACAGAGGGACAGAAAGCAGGGATAGGGAGGGAGAGAGAGAGAGCAGGGAGCTGCAAGAGGGAGGCAGGGAGGGAGAGAGACAGAGAGCAAGGAGAGGGAGGCAGGGAGGGAGGGAGACAAAGAGTAGGGAGAGGGAGAGAGAGATACAGAGCAGAGAGGGAGGAGGGAGACAAAGAGGCAGGGAGAGGGAGGAGAGAGAAAGAGAGACAGAGAGCAGGGAGGGGGAGGGAGAGAGACAAGAGAGCAGGGAGAGGGAGGGAGAGAGACAGAGAGCAGGGTGAAGGGGCAGAGAGACAGAGAGCAGGGAGACGGAGGGAGAGACAGAGAGCAAGGGAGAGGGAGGGAGAGAGAGGAGAGCAGAAGAGAGGGAGGGAGAGAGACAGAGAGCAGGGAGAGGGAGGGGGAGAGACAGAGAGCAGGAAGAGGGAGGCAGGGAGGGAGAGATACAGAGAGCAGGGAGCAGTGAGAGGGAGGGAGGGAGAGAGACAGACAGCAGAGAGCAGCAAGAGGGGAGGGAGGGAGAGAGAAACAGCAGGGAGAGGGAGGGAGCGAGAGAGACAACAGGGAGAGGGAGGGAGGGAGAGAGACAGAGAGCAGGGAGAGGGAGGGGAGGGAGAGAGAGAGAGCAGGGAGAGGGAGGAGAGGGAGGGGGGAGAGAGAGGGAGGGAGGGAGAGAGAGCAGGGAGAGGGAGGGAGGGAGGGAGGGAGGGAGGGAGGGAGAGAGAGAGGCGGGAGAGGGAGGGAGGGAGGGAGGGAGGGAGACAGAGCAGGGACAGGGAAGGAGGGAAGGAGAGAGACAGAGCAGGGAGAGGGAGGGAGAGAGACAGAGCATGGAGAGGGAGGGAGAGAGACAGAGCATGGAGAGGGAGGGGAGAGAGACAGAGCATGGAGAGGGAGGGAGAGAGACAGAGCAGGGAGAGGGAGGGAGGAGACAGAGCAGGGAGAGGGGAGGAGGAGAGACAGAGCAGGGAAAGAGGGAGGGAGAGAGACAGAGCAGGGAGAGGGAGGGAGGGAGAAAGAGAGCAGGGAGAGAGGAGGGGGGGAGTATAAAAGGCTCTTAAGCCTCCTATATGGATTGATTGAATGACTGGTGGTGGTAGTGAAACACTGATATGGCTGTCCTCTTTATTGGTTAAGAGTAACACGCACTTGCAAATAAATACACGGGTATCACGATGAAGAACACGAGGTAGCTTCGGTGCTGAGGGCAAGGCCTACCCACCCATGAGGCAGTACAGTTGACTACAGGCAGGCTCGCAGAGGGTGTGTGTCTGCGAATGAGCTTGAGTGACTAGGATCTTGGGTCAAAATCGGTCAGGTAACTACCCCTTGACCGTGTGGGGTGAAGCGTGGCCCACTCCCCATGTGCGCATACCTTACGAAAAAGCACACATGTGTTGTTGAGTTTGCATGCTTTGCAGGCCTATACAGTATGTTATATCACTCGGCCACCTACTCATGCCTCGTTCTCATGGCGTCATCTGAATTACTTCAAGGGTGACCCATAATCATTCAAAGGTTTAGCATAGGTCCTCCTTGACTTTGGGTCCAGTCACCCTCGTAATTCTAATCCATGTGGTACTCAGCGGCGTCTTCATCCACATGTCCTCACAGATTCATCCAGGTCCTACTTGGCTGTGGCTCACACAGACGTCCTCGTAGCTTGCGTCTAGGTCTACAGGCATCCGAGCAGGGGCGTCCTTTCTTCTGAGGGCGGCTTATTCCTGTGCTGGGGAGCTACTGGAGTTTGACTGCTCTACGGACGTCCAGGCAGGCGGTTTTCCATCACATCCTGGGGCCTGCTCTGACGAATTCCTGGTTCTTCGCTGGATCTACAGGGGTCCTGGCAGGCAGTGCCCGTCCACTTCGGCTTGGGCGGCTTAATACCTGCAGTAACGAGTCCTGGTCCTTTGGCCTGTGGTGATCTTCGTCTCACAGCATTGCAAGATGAACACAGCATTGCAAGGCGTCTGTGCTGCAGCTAGGACTCCTTTTGTGCTGTGTAAGACATCCACGTCCATTGTATACATCACGAACCAGATCATATACGAAAGGGCCAAAATAGCAAGAGAAAAGAAAGACAATAGAGAGGGAGGGATGTTATTCGAGTGCTACTAGCTGATGTTTTTATGCTAATTTGCATTTTTTAATGTGTTACTTCATTTTTTTTTTTTTTTTTTTTTTTTTTACTTTTGTATTTTCCAAGAAGAAAATAAGTAAGGGAGATGGAAATAGCAATCCTCACAGACATTGTTGAACTAAAAACCCATCTCATATAGTATGAGAATAGATAAGGGAAATGACAATGGCAATCAATGAGGATTTTACTTGAACCAATTGTCATTTCATAGACTAGAAAAAATATGTATTTGAGTATTATGCATCATTTCCACTAATCCCGACTTGCAACGTCACAAGGCAAGAAATAGCCTGTAACTACGACACAACAAATCCTATCAATGAAGATCTGTATATATTTAGTGTCTGTTGTCTGCGTGGATGAGTGTGTGTATGTAAATATGAGTGAATAGCATGAAGAGAGAGCAAGCTCACACGAATAATGAATCACAAACACGAATAGTAATATTCCTTTTAACAACAAATGTTATAATAATTAATATGTTAATACAACATTATTTTAACTACCACAATGAATTCAACAATAACTGATATGTGACAGAATGTTCGCAATT